GGTCCACGAGGAGCCAGGCGGGAGGGTGGACCAGAGGAAGACGGACCTCTACATGCACCTGGTGAATAGGAAGGACCACTCGATCCTGCCGGTGGACCAGGTCCTGAGGGTCATCGACGACAACGTCGACAAGCTCAACCAGCTTTTCAAGGTGGGGAGATGAAGTTGGTAATCGGGAACGTAAAGTGGTAATAATTATTATGATTTTAATAAATAACGTGGTAACTATTATAATGATTGTAACAAACAACGTGGTAATAATTATTATAATTAATAGATTTGATTCTCGCGCAGGACTATAACGTATTGGACTCGGCGGCCTCGAGGCCGAGACTGCTGGAGAGCGAGAGTCAGACCCTGCTGATCCTCTACCTCGGGGGGGCCACGGCGCTCCTGGCCATCCTCCTCGCGCTCACGGTCGGGATCTGCATCCACCAGCGGGTGAAGTTCTCGCGGCAGCTCAGGGCCGCCACGGCGACGGCGTTCGGTGAGTGGCTGTGCGACAAAAAAATTTGCAATTTGCAATTTACAATTTCTTTTGCGAAATTATTGGTAATTAACGATTTTCACGGCGTCAATGCAGCTGAACTTGTAATAATTAAATATATAATAATTAAAAAGGGTCTCGCGCAGGATCTCACGCCTCGGGCTTGGACGGGCTGCCCCGCACCTCCCACGCCCCGAACACGAACATCCACGCCGTGGAGGGCAGCAACCCCGTCTGGCTGCACGGCTACGACAACGAATGGTTCAAGCAGGAAGCGCCCATCGACAAGTAAGACCTCCCTCCCTCCCTCCCTTCCGACCTCCCTCCCTCGCGGACGAGCCATCCCTTGAGCGAAAAATTTTTCTCCTTCAGCAGCCAGACTGATAGTCAGGGAGGAGATTCCCTGGATGAGAACGCGGTGCTCGAGGACCGGTCTCTCCCCTCCACTGCTTATGTGAGAGATTTTGAGCCTCATTTCACCAGGTATTATTTTCGTTTTCCTTTGTTTCCTTATTTTTTTTCCGTTCGGCTTCGGTTTCGGTTTCATGAACTAAATGAGTTTTAAACTGGTTATTCCGAGTTTTATTGCATGATTTGCATTGATAATGTTTTTGTTTATTTTTATGTAATTTTTTTTATTACTCGTTTTACTTATTTTAGGTAAAATGTATTATGCTCAATCTAAAGGGTGAGGAGAACAGAAGGCCTTGCTGTCTGACCCTGGAAATAAAGCGGGGAAAAAAAGAAAAAAAAAACAGATGTCTGCGGCTATAATAGCACATGAATAAATATATCAACACAATATAAATATATCACTTTTTATCATGAAAAAATTATAAGGGCCATAGATGAAGCATTCATAATTGACTTTCCTCGATCAATCGGGGGAAAAAGAACAAGGACTTGCTCCAAGAATTAGTTTTGATGTCGCTACACCGTGCTATCAAAACTTTATACCATTTTGGCAAATGTTGATACATTCACATGTACAATGTCATGACGTGTTTTGAAAAAAAAAACTGAGAATTCAGGAAATTAAATTTTTTTTTTTTTTTAAATGGAGCATTCAATATTGAGTCATGCAACGACTACAAATGGTTTTCCACGCTGAAGAGCTTTTTTTCCATCAGAATTTACCAAGAGCTGAAGCTCCACTTATGGCAGGCAAGCAGATTGTCAAAAAGTTTTCTTCGTGAATTTGGCTGAGCACATTACCCTGTATTATGTTAATCTGGATCCATGCACACGGATCAAAAGAAAAAAAAAATTTAGGGGCAGTCTGTTACATTAAGTGACTGCAAGAAGCTTGTGGTGAGCAGAAAAATAAGAAATCAAGTTGATTTTGGGAGAAACAGATCAATTTTTTTTTTTAGTGAAACGAGAGCTTTTCTGCTCGTTTCCCCTTTGCTAATCTGTTTCACATTGTTTTCTACAGGGTAGAAAAGATTTTTCGACTCTTCCATTTTTGAAACAAGAATTATAGCCTCAAAACAGACTTCGTATGCCGAGTGCAAACCGTGGCTGATTCGATTCAGCTCATGATTTTTCTCAGAGGGAACC